TTGTACTTTTTAACTGATCGAGAAAAGATTTCCAATGCACCAGCCGCCTCCATTGCACCAGATGACTTTGTATGGTTAATGTGACATATGTGATCTGCTTTCCATCTGTTGTAGGCTGGTGATCCTCTATGTTTTTTCCACATTGAACAACCTTTACAATGCTTAGAAAAAGCTTTAGTATCTATAATTTTGTTGTTGATGACAGCAGTTACAACACCATTTAGTGATGTAAAGCCCCGCTTTTGCCAAGAGCCATCAATTGTTACTCTTTGTTTTGTTGGAATACTTAATGTTTTGTCTTGAGCTTCTTCAGCTGCTTTTTTCATACTATTAAAAGCAGCTTTCTCATATGCTGTATAAATTTCATTGTCATTAAGGTTAGAGAATGGTGTTTTAGATAAAGAACACATGTTCATGCATTGAGAAAATGTTTCCATTGCAGTAAAACCTTTACCGATTTCACGAAAACCAATTACTGCCCTTGCATTTGCTTCAAAGATTTTAGAACCTTGACCATGGTTTTGTGTATTACATTCTTTTGATGTATAAACAGATTTATACCATTCGCATGACTCACATAAAAGTTCTAAATTATGGGAAAATCCCTTTCTCTTCTTTCTGTTATCACTGAGAGTTATTTTTTTATGGCCACATTCAGGACATACTAACAAAGGTTGAAATACACTTTTGAGTACAGAGAAATTTACGAATAAAAAGTAATCATCTTCTTGTTTTATTACTTCACTGATTGTATTGAGATTAGTTTGATTCATAATTAGCCTCTTTTTACTTATGCTAGATGTAACTTTTTCTGATGAAATATTTGAAAGACATTTTTTTGAGTATTTATTTACAGGAGGCTTCTTCTTTCTTTTTCGTGAAAAATTTTGCTTGCTGCTTTTGCCAGAAGACATTTATTACGATTATACACAAGTACAAATTGATTGATTTAAATTAAGAGTTGAAAAATTCATAAATAATGATTTTATACCACAGCTAATATAAACAGTTTAATATGGCAATTATTATAAGAAAATGTAACTTTAAAGCATGACTAAAAACACCGCAGATCTATATTATATTGGAAAAAGAAGCTTCACAAGATTTGTCATTTTGGCCATCTAATTTGGGTAAAATAAGGTCTTAATTTTTCGTTGCTATGACGTTGCTAAGGTAAACAAAAAAACTAGCTAACAAAATATGTTATTTAAAACACTTTTAATTTAATCAAACCTAAACAAGTCATATATCAGCAGATAGAGGATAAATTTTTACATAAATACAATATATTTCCTTTTTTTTCAATTTTTGATCAAAAATCTCTATTTTTCATAGGCCTACCACCTTAAGTTTCATCAGAAAATCTGAACTGTAAATCTAGAAGTATGCTATCAAGTAACGGTAAATAAACATTTAAAAAGAAAGCAATACTTACAAAAAATTTCATAAAGGCATTCTGAAATCATTATCCATGGAAACTTTTGTATATGTTTCTCGGATAAAAAGCAATTAACATTCTTACCCTTCTTTAGATGCATCGAATATGGATATTTGTAATTTGGATAAGGAAACCAATTGCATTTCAATATTCGGTATTTATTTTTTTCAGTTACTTGACGTGTTAAAAATACCTCAATGTCTATAGGCAAACAGCTATCATCTTTTGTTGCGGGTATTGAATCTTCTTTATTAATGTATGCGTTAGTTTTATTTGTAAAATTAGCAGCTTCCATACCAAGTCCAGTTTCATTGTAATTTGATTATTTTAAGCCCCGCCAATAAATGCACAATTTAATCGTTCGGAAGATGACCCGGAGGATAGAGGCAAAACGATAGGACCAGCATGGCCCTGCATTGGTAGAATTTTACTTCTTTTGACAAAATAATCATCTAAAGAGCTTGTACTCTTTACCCTGTTGGTCATTGTAGCTAATAATAATAATTTCATTATAAATAGTAAAATTCATTTGTTATTTATTTATTTAATAGTAATTAACACACTTTTGCTTTCTAAATAAGAAACTAATTCATAAGAAATTCATTCAGTTACTATTTAAAATAAATAATTCTTCGTTTTTTCTTCGATATCGTTAAAATGCAACAATAGATTTTTTTTGTAACGCTATGAAATAAATTTAGTTTTGCTTTAGTTTTAGTTTTTGTTTTAGTTTAAAAAAAAGTAAATTGTTAGCTGCTGAACAATTTTTTGTATTTTGTTATTTCTTTCACAACCTTTCAATAATATTTTGAAGTTTGACATTTCTTAGGGAGGGGGGGGGGGTTATAATATTTTATGTTTATAATATTTTATGCTTCATGTTTAAATGTAAAAATCATTTATCTCCTGATGTATTTATAAACCTTTATAATGTAAAACCCATAAACAAATACAATCTTCGCAATGGAAAAAATCTACAAGAACCTTTCTGCCAAACTAAATATGAACAACTAATTGTTTCTTATCGCGGTCCTTATTTATGGAATAAAATAGTTTTGCCAAATTTTGATTTGTCACTGAAATGGACTTTAACTTCTTTCAAACGAAATTTAAAAAAACTTATCTTTTCAGCAGAAAATATTTTTTCTTGTTTTTAGTTCTTTTGTTTCACGCATTTCTTAAAATTTATTTTGTATTTTAAATGCACAGTTATATATAGTTTATATTGATTTTTGTTGCTTAATTTGATTTTATTGTTATTATTATATTTGATATTGTAAAGGGCTTCATGATAAGATCGTATGATCTTCTGGAAGTCCTGCCGATTATATTTGTAACAAAGCTTTGTAATATATATATATATATATATATATATATATATATATATATATATATATATATATATATATATATATATATATATATATATATATATATATATATATATATATATATATATAGTGATTTTCTACTAATTTATATATATATATATATATATATATATATATATATATATATATATATATATATATATATATATATGTATATATATATATATATATATATATATATATACTTATATATATATATATATATATATATATATATATATATATATATATATATATATATATGTATATATATATATATATATATATATATATATATATATATATATATATATATATATATATATATATATAAACATATATATATATATATATATATATATATATATATATATATATATATATATATATATATATATATATATATAAATTAGTAGAAAATCACAAAACAAATTTTTTTTTTCATTTTACACTGTGTTTCATCAACAAAGACTCATCAGAAATAGTGATATCATTGTCACTTGGTTGGAAATTCCATATTATTAAATACCACCTTGTAGATTTTGTCAATAGGAATCAGAAAGCTCTTAGACTTTTTTCAGAGCAAACATCTGAGGCTGTTCATAAAAATTTTAACAAAAACATTGAAGCGCTATGCTGTCGCAGAGACTAACAAAAACCGTGGATTGAAGCTTAAAAAGGTTGCTTCCACCTAAAGCTCTTTGAGAATTTAAACTGATCAAATTCAAATTTTTTAACTTATTTATATAATATATATGATCTTATTGTTTAATTTTTTTAAAAACGTTTTTTAATAATTTTATTTTGCATTGAAATCTGTAATGTATATAACACACCCAATAATAATAATTCTAGTAGCACGTAAGCCGTAACGTCATCAAATCATTAAAGGTATTATTATATATTAAATTAACCACGTTTTGAAGACAAAGATAATTGACGGTCATGAGGGTTTCTATGATTTTTGTAATGAGAGATGGCAAAAGTAATAAAAATGATAATGTTTTTTAAGCACTATTTTCTGGATTTTGGAAAATATTAATTTTGGACTAAGAAGGAACGCTTTCAATTTTATTTTTAACACATTCTAGCTCGTACATATACACATTAATAGAATCTGAAGAAAAACCTCATGTCTTTTGAAATTCAACCTAAAACCCTTAGAATCAAGCATCTACTGACACTATTTATGGATAGCCCCTAATTTATTATATTCACACACAGAAAAAATAAGTTTGACATTTAATGAAAAGTTTTAATATGTATTATTTGTGAATAAAATGCAAATAGAATAATATTTTTTCTTTTAACCATTTTAACTGATATGTGGTTATACATCTGCAATCGTATAAGAATAAGTATTCATAAATTATATATTTTTTCCTCACATGTAGTCAACATCGATCTTTTCTTATTAGAGTATAATAGTGTGGCTATTGTTTTTTTTTAATGTATAATTATTATAGTTTTATATATATATATATATATATATATATATATATATATATATATATATATATATATATATATATATATATATATATATATATATATATATATATATATATATATGCATATATAATGCACAAATATAGTGCAGTGTTCGTTTGTATGTTGTGCAGACCACACCAATGCTAATATAATGAGAGTTGCAAGCATTTAGCAATATAGTGTGGTTCTAATGCTTTAAGTATTATTAATGATACATTTATTGTCAATACGCAGTTTCCATATATATAGCCCACATTAAAATTTTTTGTCAATTTATTATAACTTAATATGTTATAAATATAACTTTATATCTTAGACCTTTAGGTGCAATTACCAAAAAAGTAATTTCAAATGATGACTCTTTATTCTCAAACTATTATAAGAAAATAACAAATATATTTGCATTAAAAATAATTTAAAAAAATAGAAATTCTTACAAAAAAGAGTATAAATAAAAAAGCCCTTTTGGCTTAATCATACAGTTTTCATGTTCATAAAAGAAAATTAGTAAAAATCAAAATCACCACGTCCTATTTGACCATAATATATATATATATATATATATATATATATATATATATATATATATATATATATATATATATATATATATATATATATATATATATATATATATATATATATATATATATATATATATATATATATATATATATATATGTTTGTTTAGTTTGTTTAGACATGGATCCAAAAATAAAGTCTATTCTTATTGACAATATGTCATCTGAATGGAAAAAATTTGCACATGGTACCGGAATAAATCCAGTTATTATAGATTATGTGGATCTGGATGAAGGGACAAGTGAAGAAAAAATGGAAACTTTTCTTTCTGAGCTAATTAAACGATATTCTAGTAACTTTTTTCCAATGGTAGAGAAATCTTTAAAAGAGTTAGGAAGCATACGTGTTTTAAAGGAAATTCAAACGTTTTGTAAGTACAATAGCTTTATAGTAAACTGTTGCTAGAAATCAAAAGGATATTAAAAAAGTTTTTATTATTTTATGGAGATATGTCATAATTTGGTCTAAAGAAAGGTCTCTTAAGTGTTTGAATTTTTATCTAACGTTGAACAATGATTTTTTTTTAGACAAATGATATCGGACTTAAACAATTCTTGCGTTACATGTGACTTTAAAACATTTTCTAAAATAAAAGGGCTATAAAAAATAGTTTACTACAGATATTCAAGATAAATATAGTAGATGTTCCTGATATAGTAGATGTGACTGATATAGTAGATGTGACTGATATGAAATAATTATTCTCCCTAATAATTTGTTTGTTGCACATTAGTTGTGTTGTTGCATGTTAGTTGTGTTGTTGCACATTAGTTGTGTTGTTGCATGTTAGTTGTGTTGTTGCATGTTATTTGTGTTGTTGTACACATTAGTTGTGTTGTTGCACATTTGTGTTACGGCTAGGACTAGTTGTGTTACGTGTGTGACGCATACAAAACTAAAAATTTGTATTTTAAACTTTAATTAAAACTTTCTTCGGATTTTTTATAATTAGTATAGTGATTCTTTTTTATGTTACAGTTATGTTGAGGTTTATAAAAAAATAATTTTTTATTTATGTTTACCAACATCATAAAAATAAATAATAAACTTTATTGTTACAAATGTTTAGTGTTATTTGCTAAACTTTGTACAAAATCTTTACGTTACATATTTAGTTTGTACAAAAATTTACGTTAATTCTTTAGTTTATACAAAGTTTATACGTTACATCTTTAGTTTGGGATTTTGACAGTTTCTTTATTTTTTATTTGTAGTAGTAGTAGTACTAAAAAAAAAAAAGTTTTAGTAGTAGTAGTAGTAGTAGTAGTAGTAGTAGTAGTAGTAGTAGTAGTAGTAGTATTAGTAGTAGTAGTAGTAGTAGTAGTAGTAGTAGTAGTAGTAGTAGTAGTAGTAGTAGTAGTAGTAGTAGTAGTAGTAGTAGTAGTAGTAGTAGTAGTAGTAGTAGTAGTAGTAGTAGTAGTAGTAGTCGTAGTAGTAGTAGTAGTAGTATATATTTCTATATATTTGTAAAAATTTTCTATTTGGTATATTGTGTAGTAGGGCGGGTCGAAACCATACTTTTTTTTAAATTTTGAGAAGCAGCATTATGTGGAGTTTTTGAATTGGAATAATAAACTATGTAGGCTAAATTTTTTATTTTACACACATCCCTAGGGGTTGCACCACATACCCTAATTTTTCCACATAAAAAAAAAACTTTGTAAAAAATTTTGTAAAAAAAAACGGAGTAACTTTTAACAAAAGAACTAAGAGCAAAAAAAAATTGTTGCTCAATTTCAGAATTATTAACTTTATGCCTTAAATAAAGTTTCAAAATATGATATCATGTCAACATAAAAACTTTTGCTATGCTACTATGTAATTTTTTAGTTTATTCTATTTGTTGCATTTTAGTCTATATATATTGTATATTTAGTGTTTGTGTATTTATTTGTCTACTTTTTATTTTTTAGTAATTAAAAACAAAATATAACTTATAATAAGCTACACATTGTATCATGGCAACATTTCATACTCGCAGTAAAACTGACAACTTAACATTTGGACAAGGTTCTAAATTTCCAACTGCAATGATACCTACAAAAAGAGAGGTTGTGAAATATTGCTACTATGTTCGCAGAAATGAAGATGCTAAAGACAAAGGATCAAGTTCTACTCATAAATGTTACAGATTAGTTACCATTGAAATTGAAAATATTTGGCGTAAATTCAGTTTTCCAACAATCGAAACAGAGGGAGTATTCTCATAAGTATTTAGATTAATGGAAAAAGCATCTAGTTTAAACAAAACTTCAAGACTTAGAAAAATTGCTAATTTTTAAGACAAATTTTTTTTTTTTTATCGTGTCAGTTGCAGAGAAACTGCTGCTATAGTCAATAGTCTGCTATAGTCAAACTGCTGCTATAGTCAATACGGCTCTAAAAGACATAGGTATACTAAATCAATCAAATTTGCTTGATAGGAAAGAAGTAGAAAGAGAAAGACTTCGTGTTGTACAAAAAAATGTAAATGAGAGAAAATGCTTGAAATTACAATGTATTGGTTTTGATGGAAGAAAAAACAATACAATAACAACTGCAGGGATAATTAAAGAAGAAAATATAACAGTTGTTAGAGAACCAAGCAGCAGCTATATAGATCATCTAACACCTGATAATGGAACTTCTCGCTGCATTGCTAATGAAATTCTCCATTTAATATTTGAAACTGGCAGCAGCGGTTCTTTAAATGCTCTCTTATGTGATGCAACTGTTGTAAATACTGGAAAATTTGGAGGGATGATAAAATTAATTAAAACAGAATTTGAAAGACCAATGCAGTGGCTCATTTGTCAACTACATTTAAATGAACTTCTCTTTAAACATGTATTTGAGTTGATTGATGAAAAATCTTCTGGCCCTGGATCATTTAAAGGAGAAATTGGTAAAAAAAAAAATAACAGAGGATTTAACTAATTTAGCAGTAGTTCCTTTCAAAAAAATCAGTGGTTCTTTTCATTTAATTTCAGATAATATCTTTAGTAAATTAAGTTCAGATCAAAAATATCTTTACAGTATCTGTTTATCTATTTAATCAGGAGATGTTTCAAATGAAATATCTAAAAATTCTCCCGGAAACATTCATCATGCCCGGTGGCTCACAAGAGCAAATCGTATTCTACGCTTATACATTTCTACAGAAAAGCCAACAAAAGAACTTATTGACTAATAATGCAATGCTATGCACCAGGATGGTTCCAAATCAAATCAAATTATTTGGCAATCAATGGCGCTCAAAATTTTTGGTATCTTGCTCAATTAATTAAAAATGCAGTTGTTGATGTAAAATACAAGGAGTTAATGGAGCAAGTTTTGAAGCAAACTCATATTTTTCTAACCTAGAGAATATTTTATCGGTGATGATAAGCGATGAAAGAAAACAAGTTAGAACTACACCTGTTCAAAGTATACTTAAATCCAGGAACATTAGCAAATCCAATAGATATTTTAAACTTCCTACAACATTAAATCTTAGAGCCAAAGATTACTGTGAATTAATAAATTGGGACATCGAAGAAGTTCATTCGCCACCTTTACTGAATGATTATTCAAATGAAGATATTATGAAAGCCAATGACAGTCCATTAAGTATCCCAAAGTATTCTTGTCATAGTCAGAATATGGAAAGAATTGTTGGAGTAGTCACAAAGGCATCAGAAAATAGATATGGCTATGAAAAACGTCACAAGTTTGTAATAAACCTGTTGGAGTCCAGGGAAAAAATGCCTATATTTGATTGGAAAGTGCAATGAAAATAAGAAATTTATAAAATTATACATTTTTTTTTAGCCTATAAAAACTTTTCATTCTATTTTTTTTTAATTTATAAAAAGTTTCGTTTCTTTGCTTAAAAAAGGTAATGTATGAGCAGAAAGTATTTTAAAGCTTATATCCCTTATTTAAAACATTGTATCCCTTATTCTAATAAATTACCTAAACAGTATTTTAGAAGAACATTTTTGTGGTATATCTAAATCATTATATAAAACAAAATAAAACAATAATAAAATAATTATATATAAAAGTTGCTTATACACCCTTTTTCTCTAAAATGCTAAAAATCCGATTTTGTGTGCGACCCCTACGGAGGCTAGCATAGACCTCGGTATACATCCTATACACATATATAGGAAACCCCACAATATGCTGCTTCTTAAAAAAATTATTTGACCCGCCTTATTATGTAGCCTAGTGGAAAGAGCATTATAGTAAACAGCGTGTGATCAGAGTATCAGTCCCAACGACTGTCAATTTACTAAAAAAACACGTTGCTTTTACATCTAAATTACAACGTTAATTAACGTTGGAAAATCTAACGTTATACATCTTTTCCATTTCCAACGTTAATGCCAACGTTAATACAATCTAAATAACAACGTTGGTGTGCCCTCTAACCTTGGTGTGCCGATTGGATTAACTTTAGTATTTTTTAACATCTTTGAATTTCACATACCTGAATAAAATGTTAAAAGACACCAAAAATAACCTATTAGTGTAACAATGTGGCCATAATGGAAATTCTAGCTTAATTTAAAATTTGATTTAAAAGTTGATTTAAATTTTCTGATTACAACTTTTTATTTTTAAATTTTTTTTGTCCTATTTTTTAACTTCTTTTTTCTTAAATTTCAATGATTTTTTAAAATACTTTTAGTTTTTTTTCTTTTTAATCTATTGCTATTGTAATAGCAATACATTAAACAGAAAAAAACAAAAAAAAACAAGATAAAATATTTATTTATATAAAAATATTGTAACTGTTATTAAAGAAAATTTTTATATTATTAAAATCATTGTTTTTGTAGATCCATTACTTTTTATTATTCGACATCTTCTTTACTTTTATCAACATCTAAGTAATATTATTATAATTTTTTATTATAAAATAAAAACTTTATCTTTTTAGATGAAATCGCTCGATTGAAACTCCATTATGTTTCAATTTATGATGCTACTATGCAACAAACTAATCAGGACATACAAACACACAACTCTGTTAATCTTTTTACAAGTCATTTTAACTTGGCTGAAATGGATGATAGTTATTGTGAGATTGATAATGAGTGGGAGGATTTTGTTAAAAAACAAAACAGTTATAAAAAAGTGACATTTAATGATGTATTCTCACAAGCGCATCCATTACTTTTAGTTTCTGGCATTGCTGGAATTGGGAAGACATATTTTCTCAAGAAATGTCTTCTCCTTTGGGCAAATGGAATTATTTGGAAAGATATAGATTTTGTTTTTTATTTTGATTTTAACAAAATAAATGAATTGCAAAACATTTCAAGCATAAATGAACTTATACAGAGATTTTATGGAAACATTCTGAAGGGACCTGAAATTTCTTCAAAATGGGCAATTACAATAGTTATGGATGGATTAGATCAATTCGCTCATTTAAAGAAGTTAATACATCATAAGTTAAATGAGCCAAGTGATATTCCTTTGTTGGTCACATTAAAGCATGTGCTTAGTTCAAGACAAATGAAATGTGTTCTTGCAGGAAGAGTTAAAGCTATGGCATTATATCGGAGTGTGTATAATGATAAAGATGACATTACAAATATCCAAGTCATGGGTTACAGTAACATAGGAATGAAGTTTTACACTGAAAATAATTTGACTAGTACCAATTTAATAAATGATTTAAATGAAGTTTTCGCATCATCTTTTGAAGCAAAAGCATTGTTTTCAGTTCCTCTTTACTTAAAAGCAGTATGCAAAACACTCTTGAACCTTGTTATTGTCTCCGTGACAACTCTTACTGAGATACTAACACTAATTTTTTATTATTTTTTACAAATGAAAAACAAATCAAAACCGCTGTATAAATTAATGCACACTAATTATCTATTAATGTTAGAAACATGCAGAACTGCATTCAATTTGTTAGAAAACTGTAATGTTTCTATTTCCTTCGAAGAAAAAACACATAATCTTGATTTAATGAAAATAAATTTACTTGAAATGTTAAATATTATTCAACGATACGAGTTTAGTCATTTTATTTTATTGAAATATTGTGCTTCTGTTCATATATATTTATGTGAAAGTCCTCAAATAGTTTTAAACAACGAAAGGTTGCATACTTGTTTACCTATTGTTACTGGACTAGAATTTGGCAAAGATAAAAGTTTTTTAAGCTTAATTAGCAACTTAAAAATGCCTGTTTATAAAAAGAAACTTTGGCTTCAAGAAGTTTTAGGTATGTATACATAAACATAAATACATATAGGGCCGGCGCAAGTAAGTGTTACTTGAAGGAGGGAGGTGGGAGATGGTACCAATTATAATTTTACTGAAAAAAAAAAATATCCTTGTCTTTTGAAATTTGTCAACATTTGCCAGCTGATTGTCAAAATTTGCCGACTGACTTGTCTAAAAAGGTCAAATTTGCCGCCTAAATGAACGAAAAAATCATTGATGAGGAGGGGAGTTGTACCATACACAAATCCCCCCCCCCCCCCATCATTGCGCTGGCCTTACATATATACATACATACATCATTAGTATTTAGAATTTAGGTGAGCAGTGTGACATATATATACATATATATATATATATATATATATATATATATATATATATATATATATATATATATATATATATATATATATATATATATATATATATATATATATATATATATATATATATATATATATATATATATATATATAAACACACACACACACACACACACACACACACACACACACACAGATACTTAAATATACAGATATGCATTTAAATGCATTGTAAATGATTGTAAATATTTACAATCAAAGTTATAAATTTGTATAAAACTAATATTTAACTATCCTTGATTTAATTACTTTTATTTTTTTTTAGAGTACGGTGATAGAAAATTATTTATCCAATGCCTTTATGAATCGAAAACATCTTTCAATAATGATTTAAAAGTATCAATAGATGTGTTGAATAAATGGAGTCAAAGCAATCACGATGGAAGTGCCGAAGTGATTGCAGAGAAATATTTTATAAAGAAAATCACAGAATTTAGAAAATATCTTTATAGTGAAAAGTTGGAATACAATGACTTGAAAATGCGTGTTGAGAAAACAATGTCAGAAGCAATGGGTTCATATGAAAGAAAACAATTTGATAATGCAAAATTAATACTAACAGAAGTAGAAAACATGCAAAAAGAAATTTTAGGAGAGAAACATGTTGATACATTAACTACTAAATACTGGATTGCTATGTGTTTATATTATAAAAAACATTTTGATGAAGCAGAAAAAATATTTAGAGAAGTAAATATTATGCAAAAGGAGGTTTTAGGAGATGACCATGAGAATACATTAAAAACAAAACATGGTATTGCAAAATGTTTATACGATAAAAAAGAATTCAATGGCGCTGAACAATTATACATAGAAGTAGAAAACATGCAAAAAGCTGTTTTAGGAGAGAAACATATTGATACACTAAGTACTAAATACTGGGTTGCGAGATGTTTGTATAACAAAAATCAATTTAATGAAGCTGAAAATTTACTGAGAGAGTTAGAAACGATAAGAAAAGAAGTTTTAGGAGATGAACATGCGGATACACTAAATTCTAAATACTGGATTGCCAGATGTTTACATGATAAAAAGCAGTTTGATGAAACGGAAAGGTTATTAAAAGAAATAGAAACCATTCAAAATAAAGTTTTAGGTGAGAATCATTTAGATACAATAAACACTAAATACTGGATTGCAAGATGCTTATATAATAAAAAGCTGTTAGATGACGCTGAAAAATTATTTACAGAAGTAGAAAAATTACAAAAAGAAGTTTTAGAAGAAAACCACGAGGATCAACTAAGTACAAAATACTGGATTGCAAGATGCTTATATGAAAAAAAGCAGTTTGATGATGCAGAAAATTTATTAAGAGATGTGTGTAATATGCGAATGAAACATTTAGGAGATAAACATGTTGATACTCTAAATTCAAAATACTGGATTGGAAGATGTTTGTATAATAAGAAAAAATTTCATGATGCTGAAAACTTATTAATAGAAGTAGAAAAATTTCAAAAAATTGTTTTGTGTTCAAAACATGAAGAAACAATGGACACAAAGTTCTGGATAGCAAGATGCTACTTTGAAAATAATCAATTCGACATTGCAGAAATATTATTAAGAGAAGTAGAAAACACACTAAAGGAAGTTTTTGAAAATAAAAATGAGGAAATATTAAATATTGAACACTGGATTGCGTTGTGCTTATATTGCACAAAACAATTCGATAACGCAGAAAAACTATTTACTGATGTTGAAAATATGCGAAAAGAAAGTTTAGGTGAAAAACACGTGGATACATTAAAATCGAAATTTTGGATTGCAAGATGCTTTTATGACAAAAAACAATTCAATGATGCTGAAAAAATATTTCAAGAAGTTAAAAATATGCAAGAAGAAATTTTAGGAATAAAAGATGCGGAAACATTAATTGATAAATATTGGATTGCGAGATGCTTATTTGATAAAAAGCAAATCAATAATGCAGAAATTTTATTCAAAGAAACTGAAAATTTACAAAAAGAAGTTTTGGGTGATGAACATGCGGATACAGTAAACTCTAAATATTGGATTGCAAGATGTTTGTATGAAGAAAAACAATTTGATGCTGCAGAAATATTACTTAAAGAAGTAGAAACAGTACAGAATAAGGTTTTAGGAATGAAACATGTAAACTCATTAACTACTAAATATTGGATTGCCAGATCAATATATAATAAAAAACAATTCGAGGAAGCAGAAAAATTATTCAGTGATTTAGAAAATATGCAAAATGAAACTTTAGGAGTCAAACATGTAGACACACTTAATACTAAATATTGGATTGCGAGATGTTTGTATGATAGATCACAATTTGATGACGCAGAAAAGTTGTTAAAAGAAGTAGAAATTATGCAAGAAGAATTTTTAGGAAAAGAGAACGCGAACACACTTTATACTAAATATTGGATTGCCAAGTGCATTGATGAAAAAAGATTCAAATGATGAGAAGAATTTTTTTTTTTTTTTAATTTTGTTTTATATTTTAATTATTGCTATTTTAATACTTTTGAACAATTCTGATATTTGACAATTAATTTAAACAATTTTTAGTCAAAAATCTGATCATTTAACTAATTGATGATTAATAAATAAATATAAAAAATTAAAAGTCGTATGCTTAAATAACCATCTTGTAAAAGTTTTAGTCTTCGCTTTTTAAATAGTTTAAAAAGAGTTTTTTTTTCTCAAAATAAATTTTAGAATATTAACATTACCTTGTAATAAGTAAAAGAAACATTTGATTGTGAAAATGAAATCCTTTATGAAAATATTCTTTAATTAAATTTTTGTTTTTGTTTCATATAAAGTTCATTATATATATATATATATATATATATATATATATATATATATATATATATATATATATATATATATATATATATATATATATATATATATATATTTGTTCTTATTACTACATATTCTGGTAAAATTCCGTTGTACATAAAATTTAAGAACACGGAAGCTCGAAGAGCATTGTAAGAACATTTCTCTGAGAACGGTTTGAAAATATAATAAGAATATAACCATGGTTACATTCTAACAATATATTATGAATATAAACATGGTTAAATACCTGTAGGTATTTAAGTTTTATACCGACAAAGTTTTAAATTAAAGAGCTTAGAGCTAAAAGAAAAAATATCTACATACTAGGAGACTTTAATCTCGATTGCTTCAAATATTACGTCATAAAAAAAATTAAAATGTTTTATAATGCTTTATTTGAAATCGGATCCATTCCCCTAATTAATAAACCAACTAGAATTACTCAATTAACAACAACTCTTATAGATAATATAATAACCAATGATTTATTTAATAAAACTATTCAAAAGGGCATAATAAAAAATGATATCTCAGATCATTTTCCGATATTCTTTTCGAATAATGTTAATAATAAAATATTGCCACATACAAACCAATATCATTTTAAACGTATATTTAATGAAGCAAATTTAACATCATTTAAGGAACAACTATCTTTACTACATTGGGAACATATTAATATTCTAGATAATGTAAACTTAGTCTACAACACTTTTTTTTAAACATTCTTTGAAATATAAGAAATCAAAATTCCCACAAATAAAAATTAATCTTAAACCAAAAAACAACAAACCACCATGGATTACCAAGGAACTAAAAAAATCTTCAAAAATTAAACAAAAACTCAAAATCAAATATTTAAAATCAAAATCAGTAGAAAGTAAAACTATTTATAAAAACTACACCAAAATCTTTGAGCGACAAAAAATTTAAATTTTTGAATAAATTTTTTCGAAAAAATTTTTGAAAAAAAATCTTAAATATAAATACTACACTAATTTGCTAAATAAATATAAACTAAATTCTAAATTGCACTTGGGAAGTCATTCGAGAAATTACAGGCAGTAACAAAACAAAAATATCTTTGCCCAAAACAATAAAAAAAAACGAAGAGTTCCTGATTAATTAAGATAAGATAGCAGCTGAACTAAATAAATATTTTGTATCTGTTGGCCAAAACCTAGCCAAAAAAATTCAACAATCTAATACTTTTGAAAAATATCTTTCTTTTTCCCTGACATCACATCTCAATTCCTTTGAGCTAACTTTTGATGAATTTGAATGTGCTTTCAAAATGCTCAAACCTAACAAAGCCGTTGGCCAAGTTGATGTCATTGGAAACATTGTTATTAATTCATATGATGTCTTAAAAAATATTCTTTTTAGGATATTTTCATGTTCCAGCAGGCAAGGAATTTTTCCTAATCAATTAAAAGTAGCAAAGGTTATACCAATGTTTAAAGGAGGAGATGTAGCTAATATTAGCAATTACCGTCCTATATCCATTCTTCCATTTTCTCAAAAGTTTTAGAAAGAATACTTTATAATAGAATATATAATTATCTATTAAATAATAATCTCATATATAACAATCAATATGGTTTTAAAAAACAATTCTACGGAACATGCAATTATCCAATTTAAAAAAAATATAACTGAATCATTTGAAAATTCCTAATATACTTTGGGAGTTTTCATAGATTTAGCAAAGGCATTTGATACCATAGATTAAAAAGTTCTTATAAAAAGATTACAATATTATGGAATAACTGGTAATGTTCTAAAATGGATAATAAAATATTTGAGTAATCGCAAACAATATGTCTACGTTGAATCAAATTGGCATAGAAATTTGCTCGATGTAACATGTGGAGTACCCCAGAGATCAATAATAGAACCCTTACTATTTCTTATTTACATCAATGATCACTATAAAGCCTCAAACTTAATGACCATTATGTTCGCAGATGACACTAATCTGTTTTTATCTCACAACAACATAAATTATCTATTTGAAAACATGAACAATGAGCTAATTAAAATCTCTGATTAGTTGAAAACAAAAAAAATCAATATTGATAAAACTGATTGGATTTTCTTCCACCGTCATTTTAAAAAACACTAACTACCAAGTAACATGCCTTTTCTTTTTATTGACAATACTCTAATAAAAAAGCTTTACCAAATTTCTAGGCATTTATATTGATGAAAATCTCTCATAGAAAAAGCACATAGAAAATTTAGGCAATAAAATATCTAAAAGTATTGGAATACTATATAAAATAAGAAATATCTTAAACAAGCACACCTTAACTCTATATATATAATACTTTATTGTTAAAGTTATAATATATTGTAAACATATACTGTGTTCTTATGTACTAGTTCTGGAAATTTTTCTAGAATAATGTTATATATAGTTTAGTGAAATATACTTCGTAAAATATATTATGTATAAATGTGTATATTTATGTGTATATATGTATAGTTGTGAGTGTGTGTGCATATGTATGTCCAGAGCTGGATTAAGCCATTTTAGTGCCCAAGGCACTAACCCACATCGGTGCCCCCCTTCTGCCCGGGGCCCCTGATTTTTCAAGAGGACCGATAATGTCAGTAAAATACTGTTTTTCCTGTTGCTGATCTAAAACTAAATAACTTGTTAATTTTCTGCTCGTAGCTTTTACAACAGAAATAGTGTGCTCTTTTTCTTTAGCTTGTTTTCTCTTTTGTGCACCACTTAACTGAACACATTTCATTTTGGGATTTGAAATTGAAAAAAGTATGTGAAAAGATGTAAATAAAAACAATTAAATGATATAAAATAAAAATGTTATAATAAAAAATTATGCAAAATTGTTAATAAAAAAATATCCTCAAGAGAAGTCGATGAAGCGCGAAAAAAATAATTAGTTTTAAAAAAAAAGCTAAATAAAAAAAACCGGCTTATTCATAGCTTAATTTTTAAGCATTCAAGATTGTACCAAACTTGAATGTGAATTTTTATTATAATGTATTTCTTCATTTTCATAGCACTTGTTCAATTTTCAGTTGTTTTGTTCAATTTTCAGTTGACTTAAATTTGTTAAAAAAATATATTTCTTGAGGACTTGTGGTGCCCCCAAACGCTTGGTACCCAAGGCAAGTGTCTTGTTTGCCTAATGGTTAATCCAGGCCAGTGTATGTCTGTGTGTATATGTATGTGTGTATACATATGTATGTATATATATGTATGTATGTGTGTATGTGTGTATGTATGTATGTATGTATGTATGTATGTATGTATGTATGTATGTATGTATGTATGTATGTATGTATGTATGTATGTATGTATGTATGTATGTATGTATGTATGTATGTTTGTATGTATGTATGTATGTATGTATGTATGTATGTATGTATGTATGTATGTATGTATGTATGTATGTATGTATGTATGTATGTATGTATGTATGTATGTATGTATGTATGTATGTATGTATGTGTGCATGTATGTGTGTGTGCATGTATGTATTTATGTATGTTTGTATTTATGTGTGTATGTATGTAATATGTATTTTATGTGTTTTATTTGTATATGTCTATGTGTTTACTTGTGTTCATACATTTGTTCTATATGCACATATGATGTTATGTTGTATATTTATACACGTAAGTGACTAGTATGACCTTCATAACTAACCTACTTGCCTAAAACGGCTGAAATTGTTCAAAGTTGCTACACGGTGGTCAAAGAAGAACTTTTACAAATTACAAAGTGGAAAATATTTATCGTAAGACAATAAAAATTTTTCAATTTAAATTCGACAAGACAATCGTGAATCAATACTCGACAAAGACACTCATGATACTTAAAATTAAAAAAACAAACAAAAAAAACAAAACAAAACAAAACAAAAAAACAAAAAAAAAGACTTAATCTGTTCAATAATGTATTTACAGAGGTGTTTTACAATTATTGGAGAAAATAATAATTTTGAAGAAAAATGAAACATTTGTCACAAAAATTAAGACATACTGAAAAGAAGTCGCAATGTATGAGAATATATCAACTTTTATTGACGCGTCAAACTTTAGCGGTTCTTATGACAAGACCTTCGAAGTCTTCTTTGAGTTTCCGCATTCTTTATTTTTATTTAATTTCTATCATTATTTTAAAATAATCTTTAATTGCAAACTTTTTAACTTTATATATTTGTATAAAAATTTTCATGTAATAAAAAACAAAAACAAAAAAACAACAAAAAAAAAGTACTTTAGTCACAAAATAAATGTTGTAAGCAAATCTACCTTGATCAGTCATTCAAGAGAGCTTACAAATCTCTCAAAAAAAACAAAGCTACGGGTGCGGACGAAATAAATGGCAACATAGTCGTAGATTGCTTTGAAAACTTAAAGTGTATTCTTTATAAAGTCTTTAGGGCATCTATACAGCAAGGTGTATTTCCCGACTAATTAAAAATAGCTAAAGTAACTCCTATATACAAAAACGGAAAAAAATCAAGTATTAGTAATTATCGCCCTATCTCAGTTCTTTCAACTTTCTCAAAAATTTTAGAAAGAATTATATACCATAGAACATACAATTACCTTAATCTAAATAAACTTCTATATAAAAATCAATTCGGT